CAACAAGAGAAGCCCCCACTCACCACAACTAGAGAAAGCCTACGCATAGCAACGAAGACCCAATGCAGCCAAAAATTAATTAATTAGTTATTTTTAAAAAACTGGTTCTTTGCAAAGGTCAATAAAATTGATAAACCCTTAGCCAGACTAATGAGGAAAAAAGAAAAGCTAAATTACCAGTATCAGGAATATCTGAGAGGATATCACTACAAATCCATCCCACAGACCTTAAAAGTATAATGAGATTATGAATAACTTTATGACAACAAACTAGACAAAATGGACAGGAAGAGATACGCCAGCAAGAGGAGGACATACCAGCCTTTGAAACCCCACAAAAAACGATAATTAGATAGCTATCAACAAATAAAAATTGCCCTGGGAAGATGCAAGAGTCAAAGAAGAACCTATAGCAACACAGTGCAGCAAAAAATGGAGAATAACTGCACAGAGAGTACACAGAGAGGATCACCGAGGAGATGGACTTTAGCTGAGACATCTGGAAACTGCTAAGAACAACGAAGGGTGGAGGCCATCAGTATAAGCCACACACTGGATACCACTGCAGTCACCAGTGGCCTGCTCTGCAGAGAAGCCTGGCAGCCCTGGTCACGGAGGACCTCAGGAGCACCCAAGACAGCTGCTGAGGAATCCCTACAGCTTGTACAGTAGGACTCTGTAGTGTTTGTTGGAGTGGACCTCAGCAGGCTCCTGTGCAGAAGAAACCGGCAGCTCCTGCCGCCGAGGTAATCAAGAGCCACTGCTGCTGCTGGCCTCCTAGGGAAGGAGACGCTGCTGTACTCCTTCCAGAAGACGTGCACACCCCAGACCCCAGAGCCCTGGCTGCTCGACATGCACTCGCTTCACAGGCACCAGATCATATGCTTCAGTCACTCTGTGAGCACACACACTCCACTCCCGGCTCAGGGGCTGACCCAAGCATGCCCACACCTCAGGCACCACTGCCACCATGAGGGCACTCCAAGCCAGACCCAGAGCCAAGAGACATCCCCTCGCCAATGACATACGCTGTGGGAGAAAGAGAGATCAGGAGGTCCCCAGCAGCCTTTGCCATTGAAGACCCCAACAGCCCTCTCTGTTGCAGCAGACACCTGCACCCTTGGCCGTTGCAATCTTTACTGACACTGACCTCAGCTGATAAAGCTGAATGCGCACTATGCCAATGGGCCTTCCCAGGAGCTAGAACCAATGCACCCCACTTGCCTGTACCCTTGCACCCACCTGCAGGTGAAGGTCTTTCCCCACTAAGACCAGTCTGTAATGTCTGCTCAGTCAAATGCACAGAAATTAACACGAGGTTATGAGAAACATGGAAAATTAAAGAAACATGACACCCGCAAAGGAACACAGTAATTTTCCAGGAACTGATCCCACAGAAATAGAGATCTAGGATTTCCCAGACAAAGAATTCAGAATAATTGTTTTAACAAAGTTGAGTGAGCTACAAGAAAATGCAGATAGAAAACTCAATGAAATTAGGAAAACAATATACAAACAAAACAAGAAGTTCAACAGAGAGAAATCATTTTAGAAAACCCAAACAAATTCTAGAGCTGAAGAATACAATGAATTAAATGAAAAATACAAGGCAGATCATCAACAACAGACTTGATCAAGCAGAAAAATCTGTGAACTCAAAGACAGGTCCTTAGACATTATCCAGTCAGAGGAGGAAAGGATAAACAAAGACTGAAAAGAGAGTGATTCCAATTGGCAGAAAAAGAAGATCACAGCAGAAATAAATGAAGTAGAAACAAGGAAAACAACAGAAAAGATCTATAGACTAAGAGCCGGTTTTTTGAAAAGATAAGCAAAATTGACAAACCACTGGCTATACTAAGAAAAAAGAGAGAAGACTGAAATAAATAAAATCAGAAGTGAAAGAAGAGACATCACAAACGATATCGCAGAAATATAAAAGGATCCTAAGAGACTGCTATGAACAATTACATGCCAACAAATTGGATAATCTAGAAAAAATGGATAAATTCCTAGAAATATATAACCTATCCAGACTGAATCATGAAGAAATAGAAACTGTGAACAGAAGACTGAATCAGTAATCAAAAACCTTCCAACAAAGAAAAGCCCAGGACAAGATGACTTCACCAAACATTTAAAGAAGAATTAATGACAATGCTTCTCCACATCCTCACCAACGTCTGTTATCTCTCATTTTTAAAAAAATAATAGCCATCCTAAGAGGTATGAGGCAATATCTCATGGTGGTTTTCCCTGATGATTAGTGATGTTGAACACCTTTCTTGTTTGTTTGTTTTGACCACACCACACAGCATACAGGACCTTAGTTCCCTGACCAGGGATCAAACCCACGCCCCCCGCAGTGGAAGCAAGGAGTCTTAACACTGGACCACCAGGGAAGTCCCTTGAACACCTTTTCATGTACCTGCTTTTCACCAATGAGGATGATGTTAGCTGTAGGCTTAGCAGAAATTAACACTGTAAATCAACTATATTTCAATAAAAATAAATAAATAAATAAACAAACAAAACAAAGCCTAAGGATCTCAAAAAACAAACAAACACCCAAAACTACACAAAACACAAACCCTCTCTGAAGCGTTAGCCTCCTGATGGTCTATCTAAGCTTTTTGACACTGGCGGCCAATACCAAGCTCCAAAATACAACAAACCTAATGTGGACTGGCTCATCAACAAGCATTCTAACCACCTTCAGAAAAACTTTATCACGCCACAGATTTACAAGAATTTTGTTAGATCATGAAGGTAACAAAAAACCATTTAACAGCATTATTGCTGTTATACTCGTTTTCACACCGTTATTTTACCTTCTATGAATGCCAGCCTCTATGTCCAAGTATATTGCACCAAGCTACTGTTCAGAGTTATTTCCTAGTCCTGTATTAAGTGCCCAGGAAGGCTGTCTAAAAGTTTCACAGCTCAGTGTATACCCGTCAATCTGCTGTTCTCTCCTGTTACCATCAGAGGTCCAGATGAAATGCCAGTTAACTCCGTGAAGACACTCCTGAGTTGACTGGCACAACTAACAGTTCCCTTCCCACCACTTCCATAATACTCATTCTTACTACTGACAGAAGTAATTACATTATATTTTATTTGAGGGCTTATCTTTCAATCTCTTGATCTTCACTATGAATCATTCCCTAAAGTAAGGACCACATTACATTTCTGATGCATGTCTAGTGCACACTTAAGGGCCTGGTATGTTGCAGGTGCTTAATAAACATTTGTTGAATTGAACTGAGTTCAGAATGATGATCAGGACATAAAATGAGCATGTCACACTCAGTGCAGGGAAAACTAGTTTCACTTTAGTACTTCTCATCTTCTACTCTTTTATCAGGCCTGCAGCCTTTGCTCTTTAGGGGGTTTTGTTTTTGCGGTTTCTATTTAGTGGTGTAGCTATATTATATTAGTAGCATTGCACTGCTGTGTTATTCTGACCACCTGAAGCTAAATGCCACCAATGCATTTTAAATTCCCAGCTGCACACCCTGTAAATTGAAACCATGACATATAACAATCTGGGTGTCAGTAAAGTTTTGCCAAAACAAATGCCAGTGACACTAATAACTTTAATGATCATGTTTAGGATTTAGTATATCAACTCATATAGATAAGTAAAATTGTCCTTCAGAAATAATTTTAAAAAGATGCAACAACATAAAAGGCAGGATCCTAGCTCACATTAAATACTTCATAGGCTATAATGAGTCTATTTTCATAATTTTTAAAAAAGAATGGCTGCTGGGACTTCCCTGGTGGTCCGGTGGTTAAGAATCGGCCTTGCAATGCAGGGGATGCTGGTTTGATCCCAGGTCGGGGAACTAAGATCCTGCATGCCATGGGACAACTAAGCCGTGTGCTCTAGAGCCCGCTTGCCACAACTAGAGAGCCCATGTGCCAGAACCACTGAGCCCGCATGCTCTAGAGCCCATGCGCTGCAACTACTAAGCCCGTGCGCCACCAGAGAGAAGCCTGTGCACCGCAACAGAGAGCCTGCGTGCCGCAACTAAGATCTCACATGCCTCAACTAAGATCCTATGCACCACAATTAAGACCTGAGGCAGCCAAATAAATAAATGAATGAATAAATAAATATTTTTGAAGAAAAAGAATGGCTGTTATAGAAAGCTATTTATGAACTTCTCAAAAAGAAATCTCCCCATTTCAAAGAGACTGTAAGGTTAATTAAAGACAGCAATTCCATAAATACAAAGACAAAGGAAGTACATAATAGTAGACAAGATTACCTAGTATTTAAAATGCAAGTAAGATCCTGCATATCATCAAGAAGAGTAAAGATCAAAAACCCATAAAGCAAATTCTTCTGCTCTGCTTGATACAGGTCGCTTCTATAATAGAGGTCTGTATCAAATTCCAGCTCAATGATTGGTAAGATAACTAGAAAAATACCGAAGTTCTAAAAGACAGCAACAAGCTTAAAAAGCAGAGATCAGGGGGCTTCCCTGGTGGCACAGTGGTTGAGAGTCCGCCTGCTGATGCAGGGGACGTGGGTTCGTGCCCCGGTCCGGGAAGATCCCACATGCCGCGAAGCGGCTGGGCCGGAGCCTGTGCTCCGCAACGGGAGACGCCACAACAGTGACAGGCCCGTGTACCGCAAAAAAAAAAAAAAAAAAAAAAAAAAAAGCAGAGATCAGAAATATTTAGTGCAAATGGTTAGAAAAGCTGTGCATATTTTTAACTTGGAACTCAGAGAGAGGTGAAGAGGATTAATTCATATTGCCAAGGTTTACAGCAAGAACTCAGGGCCTCCTGACCCTGGGTCTTACAATTACTGCTCAAGACAAATGTCAATTTCTCCCTCCACAACACTGGCCTGCATTCTACGTTGAGCAGATGAAAATTACTACGTCAGAGGCTTGCTAGATGAATAGTTTAAGATTTGCCAAATTTTTAAAACAGATAAAATATTCCCACCCCAACTTTTATTTAATTCACAATTTTCTACTTACAAAGTCTTGACGTATGTCGTTGAAGTCTTTGCCATATTTTTCCAGTGCCTCTTCAAATAAACTAGCTTCAGAGGCCGACCATTCTTCCATTTCATCTCTGCATAAAACAGGTCCCCCAAGTGGTACTAAGACACTAATTGCACTGCTCAAATCATAGCTGTGCCTATACAACGTATCCATAGCATGAAACTAAAAAAACAAAGAAAATGGAGAGAAAAGATCAGCCAGAAATGCAAACTTGCTAGATTATTTAAGAACAGAAATATTAAAATGCATGATGCACTTAATTAGCAACAATATACTTAGTATTTACTTTTTTAATAACACAAGAAAAAAAATTTAAACAATGGATTTATGCAGTTATTTAAAACACCACGTATTGCTTTTAAGAACATGTTGATTTGTACCTTTTAAGGTTTTTCTTTTTTTTTAGAAGATGTTGGGGGTAGGAGTTTATTAATTAATTAATTTATTTTTGCTGTGTTGGGTCTTCGTTTCTGTGCGAGGGCTTTCTCTAGTTGTAGCAAGTGGGGGCCACTCTTCATCGTGGTGCACGGGCCTCTCACTATCACGGCCTCTCTTGTCGCGGAGCACAGGCTCCAGACGCGCAGGCTCAGTAGTTGTGGTTCACGGGCCTAGTTGCTCCGCGGCATGTGGGATCCTCCCAGACCAGGACTCGAACCCGTGTCCCCTGCATTAGCAGGCAGATTCTCAACCACTGTGCCACCAGGGAAGCCCTGTATTTTTTTTTAAATGCATTTGTTTGTTACAGCAACCTAACTATGAAGATCTAGGACCTCCAGGAATTAAAATGCGAACCCAGAAAGTTCCATCATCCTTTTGGTTAAAAGTGCCAGAGTCACTTCAGCTATTGTATAAGGTTGGCACAGCCTTCCTTGACAAGGGAAAAATATGTAGACAGAGGATGTATCAGAGTGAGAAAAAATATTCTCAGGTTGGAGCAAGAGAATGATATACTAAGAACAAGAGAAAAAACAATGAAACTGAGAATGATGAAGACAAAATTACACATCCATGTTAAACAAAACAAAACAAACAAAATTATATATCCATGTAAAAACAGTAACTTGGTTGAAACTCTGTAAGACCAAGAATAGATGACCAGGCTTGCTTGGAACAGCTACCTGGGCCAGTGTGGATTTCATATATATTTCAAGGGTGAGTGATTTGAAAGGAGGAAAGATAGATTAGAATAATATAAGTGGCTTTTTTCAGAAGTACCTTGGGTCTAGCTTATTTTAAAAAGATCTATTCATAATATGCATGCGTATTTGTATGTGTAGCAGGAAAACTGATGAACAGGACAGTCAGTTGTGTCTGGATAAGCATATAGGTGTGGTACAGATTTGGTTGGTGATCAAATCCTTGCCAAGTGAGAACTAGTTCTGTTCAAACTTTCTAACATGTGAAAGCCAAGTTTTACACCTTTTACACAAAGTGTCTTCTGATAATTATTAAAAATTTCATAAATGAGGATAGAGTCACATCTATGTTTCTTAAAAATTTAGCTTATAAATGATCCCAAAATATCTGGTAGGGGACAGTGGACAGTTCCCCACTGGTACAAAAGCATAAAATAAGCTCCAATATCAACTAACATCTATTAAAGAGAAAAAAATTATTACCTAAAATACACATTAAAAGTATGTATTTATACTGTGATACATAAAGATGCTGAATATGAATTTGACAGAGCTAAAGGCAGAATTTAGGACATGATTAGGAACAGTAACTAACTGCTTTAACAAGGGCTGACATCTCCCCTAAAATAAATCGGATTCCATAAAACAAAAGCAAGTAAGGATTTCATTATCAATTTCCTAGTTATAATCACAGCTAAGACCATACTGACCATGTGCGGTCTTTTGCTATATGTGTCACAGTCATGGAATAATAACTTCAACTTTCAAGTGAATTTCTTCTCACCCTTCTGCAGCAGGGGTTACAAAAATGTTAGAATTGATCTTGATTCTTCCTTTATGCTCTGCAAACTTCAGAATCAACTAAATTCCACGTCGGTAGCTAACCTCTCACTTGACAGATTCAGCAGTTTTAACTGTATGTTACAGTTATACACTCTTAACACCATCCCTGAAACTAAAAAACTATTGTTTCTAGATAACTGATCTATAAAAATGAACAGATCAACAGCATTGAGGGGTCCCTTCAAATAATAATATATTTCCATAAACAACTATTTTTAAAACTCCTAAATTTACACTGGATAACTAAAAAAACAAAATCAATAATTATACAAATTAACTGCTGCTGAGATTCCTCAGGAGATACAAGTAATTTTTATATTGAACAGGTGCTCTGAAACCAAAAGTCACAGAATTAAATGAGCTTTTCTCAGCTGTTATTATACCAACCACTCAAAGCGTGAATGGATTTTCAGTCTTTTGTTCATGGTAGATGAATGCAAATGCCTTCCTTATAGGCACTTTTTAAAATGACGATGGGCTGTTATCTAATAAGGCTTTGGTACTTATTATCTAATAAGTACCAAAGTAATATCCTAGCCTCTATAAGTGACTGTAATCAAAATCCCAAGTGATCAGGTTGTTTTTAAAGGTTCTGTTCTTTACAGAGTGTGTTTGTGTTACTGAACACTGAAGTAAGCATTTGCTTTTGAAAACTAGCTCCTGCATTGTGTCACAGATCAAATGGAAAGAGTGAGTCGGACTAAGGCTGACCACAGCTATGAAACCTCCATAGCCCTCACATTTAGACCGCAGCCCAGGGGAGAGTGCAGTAATGATCAGTATGTGTAGAAAATAAACATCCCATGAGACACAGGTACTGTGGAATGCCTAAGGAATAATCCTGTTAAAAATCAATGGCCAGGTTTACAAAGGAAACCAGAGGATCACATTATTTGCTAGCAGTCCATATTAAATCTGTCTTTCTGACATACATAGAAGCTTCTTCTGAACGAACTTTTGTACAGTCTAATCCAACCACAAAAAGCTAATAAGTAAAACACAAAATATAGTTTCTAAAACAAAAGAGACAACATCCAGTGAAGACTCACAGAAATAAGCTAAGAAAAGACGTAGGAGTTTGACAATGTAACCAACAACTTACAGTTTATCAGTTAAGATAAAAACTCAAAGAGCTAGACATATAAGAGAACATACTGGCTGATTCCATTTTTATGAATTTTGAGAAAAATAACACTTAATTTACGATGAGAGAAGTCAGAATAATGATTACCTCAGAAGAGGGGATCATTGACTGGGAAGAAGCATGAGGGAACCCTGTTCGTCATCTACATCTGGGTGGTGGTTATATGGATGCAGACATATGTAAAAATTTATAAGCTGTGCACCTAAGTGTACTTAATACACTTTATTATATGTATACCTCAATTTAAAATAAGATAAAGAACTTGAAACTGAAAATCCTCCCTCCAGATAAATACTTTGCAAAGATATCATCTTTTCAATAGAGATATAGATACACATAAATCCATTCAAATCTAAATTTTGAAAATCATAAGAACTCAGCACAAGCTGTTCTCTCTGCCAAATAGTGGTGAAGGTGTTGTCACATTTCATCTCATTCAAAACAGATGGAGATGACAAACAGAAGTATTTTAGGAGAAAGAGTGACAATGAAATCTTGGCAGTGGAATTCTTATCTTTTGTTCATTAAGCAGAATCACACTTTGGTAAACTGGACTATTGTTTGGCAAAAATTCACTCTCTCTCCTGGACCTCCAAGGGAGCATATTCTTCCACTCTGCTGAGGCTGGGCCTGGCCATGTGACTTGTGTGGCCAACTGGCTCTTAAGATGTGTGACATAACAGAGTCTTGACATGAGCCTGTGCATTTGGACTTGTGTTACTGACTTTTGTCAACAGAGGATGAGAGATACATGCACCAGATGTGGACCTAACCTGCAGCTTCTCACCCGAATCAGCACAGTACAGTTCAGCAGAATCCTGTACAGGGGTGCATGAGAATCTGTACAGGGGTGCATGAGAAATTAATGTTTGTTGTTTATAAGCCAATGAAATTCTGGGCATTGTAATAGATACTGCATTTTTCCTTTTGAGAATTAAGAGCTTATTCACCCAATGCTTAGAAGTGCTGTGAGCAAACAGCCTACAGCGCTGCTCCTCTTTGGAATGATCTCAAATTAAGAAAGGTTCATCACCCAAGGTCATGCCCTCTTCCTGGGGCAGCCAGCATCCAATGATGCAGGAGTGTAAAGGGTGAGGCTTTCATTCACACTGTATCAGAGCCTACCTTCTCCCTCTGTTCAATCCTGCCTCCTTCCCTTCTCTTCCACAGGTGTTGATCCCAAGAGTACTCCCTAATAAACTTCCAGCATGCAAATCTCATCTCAGAATGTGTTTCCCAGGAACCCAATCTGTAACATGTGACATTATTTTTGGCAATGGCTAACTGATACCCATATATATTCAATACTATTGATTTGCTCAGTTAAGAGTTTTACAAAAATTTTACATGTATAACTCCAGCACAAATTATAGCATTCAGACCATCAAATCTATTTTAAAATTAATGAGCATATGGTTTTTTTCCAAGTAGAAATAGAAACTCTCATGAGTAAATCTCAAACCACGATCAAGGCAAAAATTTTTATATATGAGAAGTATGCCATCCAGTCAATTTTTGCTTCAATGCACAGTACTCAAAGCAAAATCCCTCACTCATAATCAGATTTGTTGACTTGGTTGTCATTCACTAAAATCAATCTATAAGACACCCAAGAGCTATGTTCTTATGTGTACTCATACCTTTTGATTATTATCACGAGAAAGCTCCAGGGGCAGCAGGCCATAGTAGCCCCATGGCCCTAATGTCACTTCCAAACCTACCCCGAGCATAACTGTGGGTTCTTCCCCCCCAGCTCTGATTCCGGACACAAACCAGGCAAATATGAAATACAGCTATGTGGAGACACTGGAGAACAAGCAATGCAGGCAAGAAGGAGAGGCTAAGATAGTTCAGGAAGAGGAAGTAATGAGAGATGAGCTTCCACACTGACCCGAGCTTTAACTCTGAGGTATTTTCTAAACTGCTACAAGAGAGAACAGACCAAACAGAAAGTTAGCTGTGACTAGGCTGAGGTGAAAGTGGGCAAGACCTAGGGAGCACAGTCCTCAGGAGGATTATATTCCAGGCCCTAAAGGAAA